TACTAAGAAAATACCTACTACTGAGTTCATTTAATCGGGCAGCGCCCCTACGACTCAAGATCCTCCGCTATCGGCGTTGACAGATCACGTCCGGGAAAAGGGATGCGCGTCGCTGTGCTCCTTGTAGCGCTTTCGTGCTGCGCTTAGGGAGAATGCTGTCGCCGACGGACCGAGACACCCGATTCGTCATGACAGCAGAAACGTCTGTCTCCGCTGGCTCGGAGGATGTCCACAGCGATATATTGCGGCAGCCACCCGTCTGATTTCAACGGGGAAATACCCAAGGCTTCACGCGTCCAGCTGTTGTAACTACACAAAAGCTCTCCGCTCCAAGGCCAAAGGATTGTTGCGGAGTAAGATGTGTTCTCTAGTAACGTATCGGATACGGTCTTGAGTTTTGGTGCTCTTGTCGGTCAAGTTAGCTTTGCCTTGACACTGCGTTTGTATATGTAGTATTCTTGGTATTGCAGCCTTGGCTGGGTTATGGAGGTACTGGCGATGAAATGTCGTGACGGGTGGCTTCATGAACCTCCGCGTAATTTTGTGAAAGTTGGGAGAAAGAGTGGCGTATGAAGCGTGATCTGTCAATTTTATTAAGCCACGTCCAAGGCTCGCGTGTTTTTTTTTTTTTTTTTTTTTTTGGTTTCTGCAGTTTTTTCATATCCTGTTTACATTTGTGTCCACTACGCCCCTAGAAATGAAAATAACGAAAAACAAATAATTGAAGCTTTTCAGTTATTTAGCTAACCGATTAAACAACTTTGCATCTCTTAAAGTAGCTTCCTTTCCATTGACTTTGCCATAGGTCTAAAACACTCTTACGCAAAATTCTCATTTAGAAAAATTATCACACACACACACACAAATGCAAAACACACACACTCTGTATAGGCGTCCCGAATCGAAGAAACGTTGACTCATGCTCATAATGAGCTCATATTTTTTTTAAAAGTGTACTGTACAGCTCGGCTTTCTGAAGTCCACGTGCGCTCTCGTCTCGTCACCTCCCTTAGTTTCTCTCACGCAGATTTTTTCCGCGTAAAGTTTGGGCATTCGTGCGCGTTTTGACCGTCGGTCGTCGAAGATTTAGACCTTCAACTATAGGGAGTATTCACTGGCCGCCATATCTGTGTGCGCGACTGCTGAGCGCCTGCTGACGGCGAGCTTCCAGTTTTTTTGCAACGTGCATTCCACACCATCAAGATTGCCGGTCTTAGCAGGCTATGAATGTAAGCTCGTTCTGAGCATGCGCTCTAAGCATCGCCTCAAATATGGCGTCCAGCGAATGGTCCCTATAGAGCCGTAGTTCTCAAGTTTTGAGCAGCGCCCTTGGCGGAAAAATCTGATATTTTTAGGTCGCGTTTCTGCTGTGCGTCGCATTGCCTCCTTTTAAACGCCCTGGTAGCTCCCGCGAAGTGGGGACGCTGAGGGACGCTGACCAGACGCTTGTATACGCGCGTGGATCATGCACGACGGGGACGCTAGGACGCAGCTTCAAGGCAGCACTAAATGGTCGCGTCTCGCGCGCGAGGCGCCGCTTTTGTGGTCGCGTTTCGTGGACGCTAGGGCTCCCCCTGGCCTAGAGAAACAGGCCTATGCTGAAACTGAGACGAACGCGAGCGAGCATACTCTGCGAGCAGCTGCTCTATTTAGATCTGAGCTGGAGCGACCTTGAAGCCTCGAAATAGTCGTTTTCAAGCTGGAGGTATCGTGGCACGAACAAAATCCCCTCAGAGCCACGGAGTAGCAATACGTTGCCATGTCAACGGTTACCGCGTCTCTTTTGGTTTAGGAACGGCCAGAATCAGGGACGATCTTTAAAATAGGGCGAGCCCATCACTCATTCTTTGTGACTTGAGCAAAGCGAAAGCCGGTTGCACCATTCATTGGCTATGAAATTGGCTAATACCTAAAAGACCTTGACGGGTTTGCTCTAAAGCGAGCGGAAAGGGCGCCGCCATGTTTGCCGACGCAACCCGGCCCCTAAAAATTGGGGGCCACACGCTATTTCTCGAATTCTGCGTTGGTGGCTAGCGCCAACCCCAAACCCCAAACGGAGTTTGGGTTCTGCGCATGCGCTGTGATGAGCCCATATTTCTTTGGGACCCACAAGCTTTGGGGTCCCCTATTCTAAAACTCTCTATTGTGGTTCAGCAGAGCAACTAAAGCTTTAGGCGCCTACTACGTAGGCTGTACCAATTTCAAAGCATGCAAAACTTTCTGCATGAAAAAAAAAAGTTGTCTGCCACGGTCATTGCCAAGGTGAGAACGACAGGGAGAAACTTCAGTTGTACCGCCTCGGCAGCGCGAGCTTCCTACCTTCGACAATACTTCGGCGTCTCGTGCAGCTCGAGCGTGCACGCGTAGTCAAAGCACGGCGGAAGGCATGGAGCGCGTGCTTGGAGGCCGGGCGTTCGAAAGACACGCCCTGCCGTTCTCACTCTGTCGGTGGCTGGAAACTGAGGGAGAGAGGCGACGAGGGCTCGCGGGGACGCGAGTGCGCCGAGCTATCGCTGAAATGATTAGTGGGTAAACGCCAGACTTGTACGCATCGAGTAAAGGGCCACCCACACTAGCGAGAAAACGCGCCCGGCGCGCCGATAAATCGGTTAAGCGGCAAGATAAAGGGCGTGTCTCTGCACGTGCTCGTGGCGCTGACTGTGCTTCGGCGACATTTTGTTACTTGCCGCGATCGGCGTGCCACGCGCGTTTTCTCGCTAGTGTGGGCGGCCCTTTACAAGTAACTGCAGTCCGCTGCCTTTCAAAAAGGTCGGGCGAGGGAAAGAAAGGCCGGGGAGGAGGAAGCAGACGGAACGCTGGAGAGGAGAGGGGGAACCTCCTTCTCTCCTTAGAGTTCCTTCTGCTTCCTCCTCCCCGGCCTTTCTTTCCCTCGCCCGACCTCCTTGAGTTGCAAGGTTTTTTTTTATTACATGCGAGCAATTACATTTTAATGTGACTTTTAGAGCGCAGCTCTTAGGGGCCCGTTTCCAGCCTGAGCGGCGTCGGCGTCGGCGTAACCGGGGGGGGTCACGTGACCCCCCCCCCCCCGAGGGCACGTGACCCCCCCACCCGAGGTCACGTGACCCCCCGAGGTCACGTGACCCCCCGAGGTCACGTGACCCCCAAGATCACGTGACCCCCCGAGGTCACGTGATCCCCCGAGGTCACGTGACCCCCCAAGGTCACGTGACCCCCCCCGCCGAGATCACGTGGCCCCCCGGGGTCACGTGACTACCCGCAGGTGACGTGACCCCCTCAGTACCCTTCCCTACTCCTCCTCAAGAGCTGCGCTCGAATTCGGCGTTACAGAGATTTGTAAACGGCTTTTTTATTTATTTCTTTTTTATTTGATCAAAACATACACGTTTCAAGCGCAAGGACGTTTTCTTTTTTTTCCTGCGGCAACCATACTTTGTAAAAAAAAAAAAAAAAGATGATAAGGTATTTCCGGCAATGCATGACTACCAAAACTTGTTTTTTTTCCCTTGTTGTTACACTACAAAGAACACGGTGGTATTTCTGCTCTGCTGGTCTCTTTAGTTTCACTGTGGCTCGTGTCGTCGTGCAGCTGTGCATATTAGAAACTGAATGGAGTAATTTACGTTTTTTCTGAAAGGTGCGGTCTCATTACGAATTCTTGGCTGCTTTCAGCCTTCTTCTTATATTAATTTTAGTGTCCAGTGAAATCTGGCAAACTTTCGATGAGAGTTTGATTTCGGCACCACGTTTTGAACCGAAAATAATGCTAATATTGTCAAACGCGAGCTCGAGAGAAAAACAAAAAAATAACAACCAATGCTTCAATGTGTGGTATTTCGTGCTGGTATCACCATCTCGTTGAACTCATTCGAAACAAAACTAACTAAAGCTGTTCTGGCAAGATTATTTACACAAAGACGCACATACTTTATTTACTCTCGCTGTCATGGTTCCAACATTGAGATAGAAGCAACTTCGAGTGAGCATAGTGTAATGTATCGTCACTTTTATTTTCTTCGTCATTTCAATTTCAGTATTGGTTAATATGCGCCAAAAATTAACTGCATCCATATGCTCATCTTTCTGGATTTGATTAAAAACCTCCAGCGCTCCCGAAGAAAAGCCCCAGATATACACTAACCTCGAAATACATCATGATGAAGAACCTCCAAAAGAATTATCCCCTTCGTGCATTCTTGAAGCTCAGGTTTGTGTAGCTAAATATAGCGAAGGATAAATTGTCTTCCACCTGAAATAGAGCGAAACCCCCAGGCGACTGGTGGTCGCCTAGGGGTTTCGCTCTATTTCAGAACATAATTTACGGCTGGAAATTCGTTTTCTTTCAGACCGAAAACCGCCGATTGAGAACTGGCCGGTTTGAGTCGCGCTCGATCTCTTTTTTGTGGTCACGTGCAGTTTTCCATGGTTTAGACACAGCCACTAAAGACAGTAAAAGTCCTGGGTCATCAAAGACACACACTCAATACTAAAATAGACAAAAATATGATGCCTATTTTTTGGCTTGTAAGAAACAGCAAAGAAGACGTTGACTGAAAAAAAAAAAAAAGTTTGCACAGCCACGTGATTTTATGGTAATTTTCTTCCTTCATTTCATCTTCCACTCCATACCAGTTTCGGTTTCGGTTTCGAGCAGTTGCGTTTTTCATTTTATTGAAAATTTACATGACGCTTTAACAGAATATTGATTGGGTAGTCTTCTGACGCCAGAATAGATGGCCTGGCAAAAAAAATATATATATATTTGTCTGGCGCAGCACTTTTTTACGTAATGTCGCGGTGGAGCTGCTGTTGATTGGTTGCACCGCGTAACGCAGCACGCTCCTGATGTCACGTCGGGCCCGTGAGATTTATATAACTGCATGCAATATCGAAAAGAAATATTATACCTTGTAATTCAGGGACACTGCTTTAGCTGAAACAGTAAGGCTCTCGGAAGTTGTTTTTTTTCCATTAACATTTTCTTACCTGTTTTGACTTCTTTTGACTTCAATTTCTCTCAGGTTGTGGCGAATAGTGGTGCCAGTGGGAAGAAATTCACAGCGAGTACAAAGTCGGGCGGAAAATGCACTCTATATAAACACTGCCAACTTTCCGAAGATTGCATAGTGCGATTTTACGAGGAGGACTTCATCGGGTCATCCGTGATGTTTATGCCCCGTGACGGAAACGTAAGTTGTCAATTCAGCCGCTTCGCGCAGAAGATGCGTATAGAAAATGTCTTAAAATGTCGTCCCCGCATTCTTGGCGAACCGGCTGCCGTTAATTGTGCTTTAGAGGCGAATTCTCACAACACGTATACAGTCTCCCACAATATAAAAGCTTCATTCACCCGGGGAAGTTCATATTAGCGCCGAGATGTTTCGGTGGCACCCTCTTATGGTTTCCCTCCGTGACGTCATGACTGGGATTTGCCTCGCCGTGACGTCGCCAGTTGTTATTCTGGCTACTTACCATCGGGTGCGACGACGAGGTCGATGGTGTGCTTAAAGAGCACAGTAGAAGCTAGGAGCCATCGCAATCTGAAACTAACACCGTCAAAGTTGACAATCTGACAGTGCTCATATGCCCATGGTTAGGCCGATCGTGGAAAGCTGACCACAGCGACGCTTTTGGCCGCGCACATCGCTAATATGCGACGGTGCTAAGCCAAATAGACCGATTTCACCCGCCAGTTTGGGTACGCCACCGCTGCCGTAATGCATCGAGGGAACTTTAGTCTTTCTGCACGTGCCACAACCTCGCTGATGCTCTGCGCGTGCAGAGCACGAGCAGTCTCGTGCGCTGCCGATTGCCTCGTGTGAACTAAAGTTATGGCGGTTTCATGCATGCGCCGAACGCTTGGTGAGATCGGCTTGTTTGCCGAGATGTACTTTATTTTAAACAAATAATGAAACACAGGTTCGTTCATTTCATCACTCCCAAACAATATGAGCCTGGTTCGAGCAGCTACTGCCGTTTAGAGTACCGGCACTCCGTTCCCCGATGCTATTATGACCGCCGCCGTCTTGGTGCTTGATGCGGAGCATAGCGCAAATGGCGAACATCACAATTCGAGAATGCGTCTGGCTAGGCTTAATTTTTGGTATTAAAAATCTCAGGCGACATCGCTTTGCTTTTTCGCGAACCCTTTTTGGACGAAGAAGTGTTTCCTGCGATTTCAGCTAAAGCTGACAGATAACTGGCAACACTGCTTTCAGGCATCGAGATGGCCGGTCTGTCGTTAGTCTGAAGCCTAGACGATTTAGTGCTTTTAGGCCTGATCAAAGCAAACCCAGCAGAGCCAGTTGCAACTTCCTCGTCGAATGGGTCTTTCTTATTGCTGGAGACTGTACGGTGCCGGCGAGAGAACCCTTGCATTGTGCATATATGTCAATCATCTTTCACTTCAACTTTCTGGCAGGCTAGCGAGCTCACACGCGGGCTTAAATATAATTATAGTTCCCCAGTGCACACTCAACACTACTCTGTGTGCCGCGGCAAGTCGACGAGTGAAGTGATCAACAGCAACGAGGACTTCAAATTGTGAGTGACCATGACTCGCTACCTGCGCTTATGACCTCTGCAGTTCTTCAAAACGACCGAGCTTGACGGCATTCTTTGTTAGGTTTTATTTAAGGACTATTTTTGTTCGGTTTCTCTTAGGTTGCACGACCCCAACATGGAGAAGGCGATCGAAATAACTTTCCGAGAAGTTCAACGAAGCGAGGGACTCAACGGGCGCATAGTACTGGTCTTCGACGTTTCAGAAGAAATGGAGGTAACGTTAATAAACGGGTCACGGGCGCGTTTGTTCTTAAATTTGCAAATACTATTTTTTTAAATTTGCAAATACTATTTTTATTGGTATACGGCACTGTATTTTACTCGCGATCTTTATTTGAGCAAATCCCGCGCTTCCCTGCTTCATGCAGTACGTGGTGGACTAATTATTACGATTTTCAGAAGAAAACGAGCAAATCGGAGAACACGTGTACCAAGAATACCATCTGCGCTTAAATTTTAAGTACGCGAACGCCATGCGCATTGGTCAGGCCACTCTGAGAACTTTTGGATCGTATACCGTAACCCGAAATGACGTATGCTGCTCGCATCCTGTGCGGAACCGTGCACGCGCCCCGCTCTTTCACAATATGGCCGCTTTATGTTTCGAACACGTGAAATATCTTAAGGTGTGCGAGACACAAAAATACTATCAGCTTCGCTAGTTCACTTATTTAGAGTAGAAATGTTAGTGATTGAGATAACTATAATTATCCACTATTACAATTATAGCAGAGACGTCAGCACTGTGTACTCCCTACCTATAACGTGGAATGCATATTGTTATATATTATCCAAAGCCTTTATTCAGGTGGCTCACTTGGCCGTAGGGAAAAGAGGAGTTGCCCCAAAGGCACACGGTTCATGGCGAGTACCCTGAATGACGAACAATTCGGCGAAACCAGCTTGGCTCGTCTTGGCTTGACATCTGCTGACTCGCCGATGTTGCCACACGCACACACACAACCCACATCATAGCGTGTAGTCCTCACTGGCGGTCATAGCTGAGTCCGTTGCAACTAAATGCGGCTTCCGCAATGCTTCCGCAACGTGCATTGCACACCGCCGAGATTGCCGCTCTTTTCAGAAGATAAAAATGAAGTCGTTCTGAGCATGCACCGTGAGCACCACGCTCAAACATGGCGCCCAGCGAATAGGGAGTATTCACTGGACGCCATATTTGTGGGTACTGTTTAGAGCGCATGCTCAGAACGAGCTCACATCAATAGGCTGCTAAGACCGGCACTTTTGATGGTGCGGAATGCACGTTGCAAAAGAGCTGTGGAAGCTCGCCATCAGCACGCGCTCAGCATTCGCGCACACAGCTATGGCCGCCAGTGAATACTCCCGATATCACTTATAACAAAAAACGTTTTAACGCAGAATGTGTTATATGGCTGATACTTAACCATATCTGTTCATCAACTCAAAACGGAAGTGGATTAGCCGACTCCTAGCCGAACGCTACGTAGCGCTGGTCTCATCACTGATGGGACACAACTACCAGCCGAACGTCTTCCTCCAGTGCATCCGTGTTACTCCTAGGGGGGGTAAACATCACGTGTTTAGACATACAGCGGTGCCCTGCTCCGTGAAACAAGCATGCTCCGGGCTTACCCCGAGAAAAGGGTGTTTGAGAGAGCGGCATCAAAGCAGAGAAAACACGCGCCACGCTAAGGGGACAGCCCGCAGTCCCTCGGCGATGAAGACGGCGATCCTACTCGTCGAGCGCAGTGTCCGCCATTGGTGGCGAGCTGCCTCTAAAAGCGTGCGCACGCTTATAGTCGAAACAAATACACATCTAGCAAACTCTCGTACACGGCACCTCGCGGTACTTTTGGAACTGTCGCTCACGACGTGATGAGGTGTTATGCTGCCGCCCCGAACTCTCCGCAACATAAGGTAAACAACGAGCGTCCGGGTCCCAGGTGGTGCACACCACTTTACCACAGCCTCTTTATTCTAATTTAATAAATTACGCACGTTACCATTCGTGCCATCCAGTCTACGCATGTAGACAAAGTTTCTCAACACTAAGACATCACATTTTGCATTACCACTGCATTTGCCACGCTGGTACGGGAAAGGGACGACGACTTCGCGTTTCTAGCCGTCTAGCTGTGACACTGCAGCTCGTAACATTTATCCTTGCAGGTGGATAACCGCATAACAACCATAAAAAATGCGGCCGCATTCTTCATCCGAAGCGTCGTGCCGGACGGACACCGTTTGGCCATTGTTGCGTTCGCCGAGAACGCCACGATCATAAGTGAGCTCGCCGTCGTTGACAACTCGACTCGACGATCCCTCGTCACCGCAATCCGCACCCTCAGCGCGACTGGACCTTGGGGCCGCGTGAGCGACGGACTTCGGAAAGCCATCGAGGTTTGTGAAGGGTGTATATTTTCACGGACAGATTAAAGAAAACGATGGCACTGTACTTTCCCGCAAACAGTTGGAGAGAGCCAATCAAAGAATTCGGTGAGTGACAAGATTATAGATAGGGTAATAACGAAAAAAGAAACGGTGGGTATTGTCACACTGGGAATGGAGCTTCACGGGCTGACGAAATATGTTGCAGTGTCACAACGCAGGTTGCTGTTTAAGGTCTTAGCATTTTTTTTTCTTTTATCATTCGCCGACTTCGCCTCCTTGGATTACACCAATTAGCTCTCCCAAGTGATTTGCGGGAAAGTAGACGCAATTATTATTTGTTTTGGAGTGCAAGACGTAATGAGTCCCCGCTGATGTTAGTATCCTTCCGTAGCAAACGAGATTGCGACATTCGTCGATAAGAGCGCCGAACAACGAATCACGAAGCAAAGAAACCTGAACATAATAAGCCGAACCCAGCGTTTCTTAAGATTGTCCGTTATTATATAGTAGTCAATGACCAGAATAACATCGATAACATCGGATGGCCACTCTTCGGCTCGAGACTCCCTCGACCGGCATACCGCGATTATAGTAGCTGGAAGGGGACATGTGCCGGGCGCTGTATGCGCGCAATGATCAGGAGGGGCACGATACGCGATGATAAGTTTGAGAGAGCCCAGATTTTAGAGAGGGTTCATCTCAAACCATGGGGAGCGTTTGCAATTTATGGCGGACGCCGCCGGCGAAGATTGGTCGGATGTGTTCATGAGCTGCGATGTCGCGTGGTGAGGAGGGAAGCAGGAAAAAAAACTGAGACGCTCGCAGACGACCAACGCCTTCGTCACCTCCTCGCAGCACTTATTGGAAGTGAAGGGCCCATAAACCACACGGCTCCGATCAAGCTGTTGGAAACTCTCTCTAATGTAGGCCCTTCCAACATTTTAGGCACCGCTTAACTCGTCTGCTGGATGCAGCGCCCCTAGCGGTCCCCCAAAAATGTCTTCGCGGCATTTTCAGCGCGGAATTCAAGCGCACGACCCATTTAACGGGTGAAACGTGGGCAATCCGTGTAGTTACAGAACTCCGAGTCAAAATATATAGGAACTGTGTTAACTTTCAATGCACGCGCTGTGGGAAGCGCGTATGTTGCGATGAAGATCTTCGCCAGCGCGAGGGGTGCTGCAGTCTGCAGACAAGGTTTCGTTTTCATCGCAACTCTGTGCAGCCCTTCGCTCCCGGCCGGCCCACTTCCCCTTCCAGCCACCCTACCACAGTCAAAACAAAGACTGTCGCCATCTGTCTTCAATGACCAGCCGTAATTGGCTGTGTCCATTACGCGCTTAGGCAATCATTGGCTTCGGAGTGACAAAAATGCTTGAAACTCGCCTCGCACTGCGTTCCTTCAGATTGCCCACGACTGGGCGAGTGGCAGATCCGGTTCAGTTCAGACACTTTACGGCATATCAGCCGATTCAATGAGTGCTGTATCGTTCTTCCAACCTTCGCAGGTACTCGATTCAGGAAACAGAGCGGAAACTGGTGGGATGATTGTACTCGCGAGCCGCGTCACGGAGGGACAAAGCTATGACGACATCAGCGGCTTGGTCCCCTGGTTGGAAGACAACCACGTTGCCGTGAACACGGTCGTCTTCGGCTCCGGCGACAGCACGATGCCGTCGCTTTTGCGGGAACGGACGCGCGGAATGTCGCATTTGGTCACGGACTTCGCACAGGAGTCTGAGCTCGAAGTGCAGAGCGGGGTTGAAGCCTCACTCGTGGAGTTTCTAGCAGCGAGGATGGACCTGCAAGAGCAACCCATAATCGTGAGTCGCTGCTTGCTTGCTTTCCGAATCACTTTGATCGCAGTAGCCGGAAAGCCGTTTAGAAGTACCGAGGGCCATCTGCGTCGAAGGTACGACACCAACACGTCTATAATGACTTAGACGTGAAGTCATCGCACCGTACCAATGGCCATTCAAACTTGTTCTTGCCGAAAAAAAAAAAACAGCCGGTAGGGCGAGACTTATGCTGTAGAAGGTACGCTCGCTGCAGCAGGGTGCGTTACAATGGCTATTGGTGAGACAGACGCCAGTGCAAGCCATGTAGAGTCACTGACGAAACACAGGACATCTCTTTAGGGTGTCCAGCCTCCAGTAGTCACCTCAGTGTTGTACACGTTCCTCCAAAACAAAAACGAAAGCTCGTTCCTTGTCCTTACTGAGCCTTGGGACGAGTTCCAGATTACAAGATCCAGGGATTCGGGAAAAACGCTCTCCCATTACTTTTCTGAGATTGAAACGTGCGATTACATTAATTCTACATTTGAGAATTTAAGGAAATGTTATGCCGAATAATCCATGGATAAAGTAAAGCAAAGGAGCGAAAATATTTACATTGAACTGCATGTCGTGTCGTCACGATCGCATTTGTTCCAGTACTTTTTTTTTTTTTTACTATCTCTCGGACACTACCTTTCCCCTTGAAGTCGGTGGTTCAAAAAGTCCATAATAAAACGCCTAAAAGCCTACTTAATTTGGGTAAAATTGCACATATACTGACAAATAAAAAGGAGCGCCCTTCTTCCTGCCCTTCCCTCGAAAACATAACGAGTTCCTGTTCCAATTCCTCGGAGGCAAGAAGCAACAACAACAATCCTCAGTTCCTTTTAGAAAAAAATGCGTTCCTGGAACGTCACTCCTTAAAACGCCGTTCCGTACAACCCTGCTCGTTACCTTTTTCCGTGCCTTTTGGCTGCGCTTGCATGCTCGAAGCTCGACGGAGGTGCCGAAGTGTTATCAAAGATCGGACGTTTGAGTCGGAAGCGTGACGACTGAAAGACCTCCCCCTCAGTTTTTACCCTACAAGCTTGGTGCACCGGCAGCTGCCCCATGAGCGCAAGCGTGCAATCAGGGTAGTTTTGGTAGGGTTCCTTGCACGAGCGCAGACATTGCGGCGCTGAGTTGTTCTGCTTGCAATTGCGCTGTTTCTCACCGTTTCGACTCGGCTGTGACCGCTGACGGAATGAGAACGGCAGGGCGTGTCTTTCGAACGCCAAACCTCCAGCACGCGCTTCGTGGCTTCCGCCGTGCTTTTTGGCTGTAAGCGAGCGCTCGAGGTGTTCGAGACGCCGACGCGTTGTCGAAGGTATGCGAAGCGCAAGTTCGTCTTCTGTTTTTGCAGGGGTTGTGGTGTCGTCAGAACGTGGAGCTCTGATTGAAGAATAGTGGGTAGACCCCAAGGCAGCTTGCTTTGAGGTATACCCACTATCCTTCCAATCTGAGCAAGTGTTATTAGATTAGCTCAGTTACCAAACTGCTCATAGACGCTGCATGCACGAGCAGTACTCCCCTCACTCTTTACGACTCGCCGGACGGCTGATATGGTAACTGTATTCTATTAAATATGTACGTTTCGAAGCACAGCGTCTAGATGGCGTTCCACCGTACTCTATGGTACTCTATGGAACACACAGTTCGTAAACGAAAATCTAGATGGCGCTTTGAACGACGGAAGGAGGACTGAAGTGAGGGAGGGGGGGGGGGGGGGGGCCCTTCCGCGGGAGTTCCGCAACTGAGGTAATCTACTAGTAACGTTGATCAGAGCCATTTAGAGCTCGGCGTTTTGACGTCACCACAACCCCTGCAAAAGTAGCAGACGAACTTGCGCTTCGCATAAACACGTCCACGCTGGGGGCGGAGCAATTTTTTCTATTTTCCGCCGTTTTCTCCTTTTCTTTTGCAAACGCCACTAGGCGGTGGTCCAGTTTTTGACATCCTAGGGAACTTCCGGTTCATAAAAAGAATGAACAGAGCCCACCTTAACACCGCTGATTGAAGCGTCAATGAAACATTTAACCACCAATTCTCCAGGTGAACGCCGAAGGAGCCAAGAAGCGCGAGATCTGGCGAAACTTTTTCAGTATTCCTGTAAACCAACTTGTATCCTCTAAGACGTTAGATCGCACAACCGAAGGCCCTTGCAAAATGTCTAACTTTGTTGTCCGTGTAGCATTTATTTTCTCAAGCACTGGTAACATAAGCAAGCTCGACAGCCTTGCAAAGACGGAGCGACCGTAAGTCCCTTAAGACGCAAGCAGAGGTTCATGTTTGTAATCATTAAAACGTTTATATAGAGCGTCACTTGAGCTGAAAGACACTCACGTGCTTTAGAGTCATAAACAAAAGGAGAGGACCATCGCAGGCTGAAGTGACCTGGAACAAGGTATACATTGCAGCCGCTGCAACTATGGCCCCCAAAACTGCCGGCGTGCGCGTCAAGAATTTCGGAGGTTATGTCTGGACTAGCCTGGTCCAGCTTTTTCGAGCGTTTCTCAAGGAGACGATGTCACGAGAAAGGTGAAAATAAGCAAGAACGCAGTATCTCATTCAGAAACATCGAACACCAACCTAACCAGGTCTCTTAAGTGCAAATCTAAGACGTCTGCTCTCCAGGCGACACTTAAACCATCATGAATTTTGTCACCTTCGCGACAGGTTCTGAACGCACGGAAAGACTTTGAGGACATCATTGAAGTGAACTTTACCCTACCGAGCGGCACGGGCAAGGACACCCGGGTGCACATTCTCGGCACATCGCTGCGTTCTGTGATCGCTTCACTTGTCAACCCAGACAACGATGTCTGCGTCCGATGCGTCGAGGCCAGAGATGACGACTCGAGCATCGACCTACACGTCCCTTCGGCGGCCATGGTACGCTCGGTTACGTCAGGGGTCGTGTCTCATGGTGGCCACCTTTAAAGAGTGTTTTCAAGATTCTCGATGTGTTTTCAGAATAATAGGGTGACATATGCAGTCCTTTGGCTTACCTATAGGAAACTGTTCCGATTGTTGTCACCGACATGTTAAGCAAACGCGGATCGTACCTACTCCTGTGAATCTTGCCATCGCTAAGTCGCCAATGATATGGCGGCCATTAAGCGATCAAAATACCCAAAAACGAATCGTGAAGCAAAATGCGTATGCGGAGTGGAAGTTCGTCTGCTTCTTTTGCAGGGGGTTGTGGTGGACGTCCGAACGCCGAGCTCCAATTGATTCCGATTGAAGGATAGTGGGCAGAGCTGAAAGCAAGCTGTCTTGAGATTTATCCACTATCCTTCAATCAGAGCCAATCAGAGCTCGACGCCGTTCTGACGTCACCACAACCCCCTGCAAAAGAAGCAGACGAACTCGCGCTCCGCATAAAGATATTAAGCCACGCCTTGCACTTTTTAAGCCTGGCATTGACTATAATATATCAATGAAGCGACAGCACGTTGACGTGTTTTTCCCGTTACTGCCAGTGTCACGTAATCGTGTACGCCCCACACAGCTTCCTACACTCATCCTTGATCAATGTTCGCGGCGCGTAGACCAAAGGTGCTGACTGATGGTCTTGTACTGCCTCTCAGAAAGAGTTGAGGATTAGGGGAAACAAGTTGAAATATCCTCCTTATGTGTATTGTAGGGGCAGTTGCACTAAAATACACAAGTTTAAGGGCACATTTTGTGCGTAGTAGTCTAGCAGAGTAGTAGTAGGTGCCTTAAAGCTCCAATACTACATGACCCCCCAGATGTTAGGATTATGCATGACCAATAAACTTTCCTTGTGAGATTCGAAACTCAGACCTCGTGAAGCAGACAACCCACGCAAAAAAAGAGACAACGAAGAACACAAAAAAGAAATCAATTTTCGATTTCAGTTTTTAAGAAATATTTATTGCTCGCTTTTTACTTACGCTTCAGAAAATTAAGCAACATTCTCAGAGATTAGTCAGACGAGATGAAAGTAATGCTTTGTAATGAAAGTGAACCGAAAGTAATAGTCCCTTTTCGAACCCCATCGAACAACATTGGCGGTCGTCATTTCTTGAAAGCTGACGCAGCCCTCAAGTGCAAGGCAAGTTTATAATGTTTGTTAAAAAAAAAATGGCGGACTCGAATGATTGGCTCAATAGCTACTAAATAACGCTCCACAGAAAAAAAAAAAGAAGAAAAGGCTTTATTGCAGACGGCGCGTTTCTGGGTTGCACAACTTATCGCCTCAACTTAAATAGATCCTATTCGGAATTAATTAAAATCTGGTGTCTCGAAAAGCCGTTTCACTTTCGACGAACGAATGGTGGTCACGAAACTATATTTATGGGACACGGTCAAGTACTGCGCCTGAATGGCAGATGAGAATTGGTTATTGGATCACCTCGTAATTCTTCCTCGATGTGTTTACATTTTTGTGCCGCGAACATAAGAACTGACAGGTATAAAGCGCCAGCCCATAAGCTCCTTGATTGAATTTCTGCCATCAAAAGGCTGTAGAGCCAAACTTGTATCAAGAGAATGATATTAGGCAACACTCCTAAATATAAACGCCTAATCAGCCGTTTTATCTAAACCGTACGTCGTGTTGCTCTGACGTCTTGAACATACAGTTCTCATAAACCCTCCGCATGGTGGTATATTCAACTCCTTCCTTCATCATCTTCGAGAAGGCATCCATTAGTTTGGTACAGCTGTCATACGCCGAGATGTTGATAGTAACTAAAGAATTTCAAAAACGGTAAATGTCCCCGGCTATTCACATAAATGTAACGAAGGAAGCGTTATCTCCCAATAATGTGCCCATATTTTTTTTTTGTTTTGTTTCAATACGAGATGAATCGTTGTTTTTTATTTCTACTGCGCAGGAGGGAGTCTGGAAGCTCGTTCTTAGCAAGTCAACAACACACACCGGAAACTCTTCGAATATCGGTGTCCTCGTTACCACGTATCAGATGCAATCGGACGTTGAGCCAGTTCGCCTGAAACTGTACACGGCGCCACTCGACGAATCGACTGCTCAAACAATTTTCGTCGACGTTTGGAAGGGATTGCAGGCTGTGCTCGCCGCTGAGGTGATCGCAACCATTATTGGATTGAATGCATCGCATCATGCGGAGCTGAAGTTGCAACTTCGTGACGACGGCTTGGGTATGTCTCACAAGTGCAGCAAATTTAGCACACGAGGTCCCGTGGCCATACCCTAACACCATGCAATCCTAATCTTGATTCATTATCAATCCGATCATCCAATCCGTCCCTATCTCGTTCCAATCTCCGCCGGTCTCTACTTGAAACAGAGTAGTGATGTGGGCGAGTTGGTTCATGCTTAGAAATAATGGAAACAGCGCGCAAACGACAAGGACGGGAGGAAAAGGAGTACACAGGACGAGCGCTGAACTGACAACTGAATATTTATTGAAAAGGACCCAACGAAGAAAACACCCACAAAAAACACACTCGCATCAACACGTGTCCATGAAAGTAATCTCCTTCTTATGTAAATACACAGAAGTTTGACTCACGCAGTTCTGTTCCCCCTCCTTCTTTATTCTATACGCTTCTAAAATTTCCCTGGCTGTTTTATCTGCTCCCCTCCCCATGATTGTGATCTTATTGAAATCAGGATGACATTTGCATGTTCCGCAGTGCAGAGGCAAATGCCCTCCTGCTGTTGAATGAAGCGACCAGTCATGTTCGCGTGCCCTTTCATTTATGCAACGGCCCGTTTGTCCGATGTAAACTCTTCCACAGCTTAACGGGATCCTGTACACCACTCCGATCGCACAATCCACGTACTTCTTTCTGTGGTTTACAGTGCATTGGTTCCCACCCCCCCTCCTCTCGGCTACTTTAGAACAAAGGTGTGCCAGCTTAGCACACCTTTGTTCATAGCGTCTTCGTGTATGCAGGCTGCCCTTGATAAGTCCTGTCCCCATTCTATGGCAGAGAGCTTTGAACAGCAGACAGTGCGGCTTGCAGCAGGGGGATACCCTTCTTCTGTTTTGCTGGCGGTAGCGGAAACGCTGTTAAAAAAGATTAAGGGGGGACCTCATCAGCGGCTGGATAGACCTAGCAAGAGACCTCAGGTTATCCCGTATCAGCACAGAATTTCCCACAACCTGAAAAAGGTGGCGGGGAGGTTTGATGTCCCTGTCGTGTTTTCGGCGCCTCGTAAGCTGGCACACCTTTATTCTAAAGTAGCCGAGAGGAGGGGGGGGTGGGAACCAATGCACTGTAAACCACAGAAAGAAGTACGTGGATTGTGCGATCGGAGTGGTGTACAGGATCCCGTTAAGCTGTGGAAGAGTTTACATCGGACAAACGGGCCGTTGCATAAATGAAAGGGCACGCGAACATGACTGGTCGCTTCATTCAACAGCAGGAGGGCATTTGCCCCTGCACTGCGGAACATGCAAATGTCATCCTGATTTCAATAAGATCACAATCATGGGGAGGGGAGCAGATAAAACAGCCAGGGAAATTTTAGAAGCGTATGGAATAAAGAAGGAGGGGGAACAGAACTGCGTGAGTCAAACTTCTGTGTATTTACATAAGAAGGAGATTACTTTCATGGACACGTGTTGATGCGAGTGTGTTTTTTGTGGGTGTTTTCTTCGTTGGGTCCTTTTCAATAAATATTCAGTTGTCAGTTCAGCGCTCGTCCTGTGTACTCCTTTTCCTCCCGTCCTTGTCGTTTGCGCGCTGTTTCCATTATTTCTACTTGAAAGAAGCTTAATCCTGACCCACCCAAATCGCATCTAGTCTAGTTTAACCCAGCATTATTTAATACCAGGAAGTAAACGTTAATTCCAACGACAATAAAATAAAAAAAAAACGGTAAGACACAAACTGGTATGATCAAACGCTGCTTCATAATTTGCTCGTGCATATTTTTGCTTAAAGTAACGTGGATTGGATACTGTTTCACAATGGTGCTCTAAGGTGAACAAGAAAAGCATATTTTTATTGAAATGACATTTAACGATTGATCCCTAAATCATGTTTAACGTAGCGCTATAAGGTTACATCGAAACAAACTTACCCCGACCCGACCCGACCCGACCCGACCCGACCCGGTCGGACCGGACCGGACCGGACCCGACCCGACCCGACCCGACCCGACCCGACCCGACCCGACCCGACCCGACCCGACCCGACCCGACCCGACCCGACCCGACCCGACCCGACCCGACCCCACCCGACCCGACACGACTTTGCTTGACTTGACTTCTTCTAATGTGACTCTACGGAATTGGACTAAACCCTGCATAACTATAACCTTAGGTCACTTTAGACGAATCTGAACACAGCATTAAAACCTAATGCAACTTAAGGCGACCTAATGGAATTCTAAGCCGTCAATATTTGAACTTATATTATGAACCATTTCTTTTCGCACTTGACCGTCACCCAGTTACACTCTGTGTACTATATAAATAGTTCTGGTTTATATAAAGTAATAATTGTAATTCGTATTCCAAACAAGGCGACTAGTGTTTAATGATACACTGCACATAACATCCGTTTTATGTTTTTGTTTTTCCTTTTTTTTTCAGAGGGGGATTCAACAAGAAACGACGGCACCTATACCGGTGTATTCTCCAAGATTAATGGTATAGGGCGTTATAGAGTTTCGGCCCAAGTAACCACCAATGCTGAAAGCGTTTTGGCCGGAGGAGTTCATCAGCACGTAGTGTATGCCATTAATAACGGTAAGCTTACTTTGCAGATGTCTCTTTTCTACCCTATGGGACAGGTTTCATCGGCTACTGAATGAAACCTACGCTGCGTGTTATACCTTCCTAAAATGTTCATGCTGAAGCGCGAGATCTTTTAGTTATCATAGCCTTTCGCACATACAAACGCAGTTGCCTGAGACTTACGTATTATTTTATCCCAGAATGTGGTGAAATTGTGTAAAGGGCAACATAGGAAAAATTTCAGGTACTAAATTGGCATTCAATAAATATGCTAGTTAGTTAAAAACCCTGAGTTTCTTTAGCCAGAGTAGTCAAAGTTTTTAACGCAATTTTAGAATGAAAATTTATAGTCAAGATCCTTTGAATAAAGATATATTAAGAACTCAAGTCATTTGAGAATTATCCCAGTTACACTGCTGGGAATAACGTTTTGTGGCTAAGTTATACATTATATTTTTGTCATTAACTTGGTGGTTTAAGTTCAAAGTTTAAATCATGGGTACATAATAATGGGATAATATTTTAAACAGGAAACTTGGGGGGGGGGGGGGGGGGTATTCAGTGCGCACGCAGCTAGTATTTGGGTCTGTTAGATTCACTCAGTTTTTATCACAACGCATTCTTATCTATTTGGTGGACACATTTTTAGTGCCAGATGTCACAAGCAATGAATCAAGAGGAGGATTGGTTCCTGCGCTTGAAGCTAGCAGGGACGCGTTTCTCTACGTTGATGAGGATGTTCCCAAGCCACGGCGGAAGAGAAACGCCTTGAACGGTGTACCCGTCTTCATGAGGATCCTGGATGGGACTTTCTTTGATCTAACAAGGAACTCCAGTTCTGGCAACCTCGAGACCATTACCGTGGATAGCATGTACTCTTCAACGAACGAGACGCCATCGGGGATCCCGTCCAGGACGTCGCCGCCAAGAGCTCACCTCAATCTTAAACGGAGTAAAAAGACTTCCACGTTACTAGATCAACTCAGTTCCGCAACTCGCAAACAGAAACGAACCCTCCTTTTCTCCCTCTCAAGGCCGCCACATGTTGCTTGAAACTCCATCTAGAGGCTGTACTTGAAAGCCTGTGTATTGTATGAAATCTACAGTAGTTACCATAACAGTCCTCTCCCGATCGGTGGCGCTTCAAACGACGAGAGGCGAACCTTTGGGAGAGAAGGAGGCATGCGCGAGGAAGCGGCGTTTTTGGGCAGCTCTGCAACCAATAACGCCAAGACACTTTCTTACTAACATCAGGACATTAGTAAGGGGTTATAAGTATGCTGCATAAAAATATATCAATATATATATGTTGTAGTGGTATAAGAAGTATTCAATGGCGGCCATAGCTGTGTGTGCGGCTGCAGAGCGCAGGCTGACGACGAGCTTTCACAGTTATTTCGCATCGTGCATTCCGGACTATCAAGATGGCCGGTCCTAGCAGCCTATTCATGAGCGCTTGCTCTGAACATGCGCTCTAAACACCGCCCTCAAATATGGCGTCCAGAGAATACCCCCTGTAGGAATATACCCAGGAACAACTTCCTGCGTTATTTTTGAAGAGAGGTGGGGTGAGCGTGTGCAGCTCTAAAGGGTAAGTGCAAAGGAAAAAAGGGTTTTTAAACAGTCTAATTGGGACAAGCATTTCACAAAACAAATATTCCGCGAAAAAAAAAATATTTTTTAGCAATGTTTACGCCCCAGGATGTAATTTAGTTGGAGTCAAAACCTCTACACATTTGAAACTCCCGCTCTTTCGACTCCCGTGGAGGAGAAATACGCCCGCCCCCCACTCTTGGATTTGCTCTTGGGTTGACTTGGCTGCGGAGTTGAAAGACGTAGCGTCTCGACTCCGGTAAGATCTGGCAACAACGCACGTTAAACATGGTGCCGGTATTGTTTTGGTTAGACGGGACACAGGAAGCTGCGCGGTTTGCGAGCACATAGCGAAGACGTGACCGGAGAAGCGCCCGTGATATTCCCGGAGGACGGAAAGTATCATTCGTAATCGTCGTTTGTGCTTTGAAAGCGAAAGGAGTCACAGGATCCACGAGTGCGCAGCCACAAGCCAACGTTCACGACAGCGCTGCGTTGACTTCGACGATCTCGTTCTGTTTGGTGCAACACGGCGATGCGACAAAGAACTGAAACGTTCGTGGTGTGTGTGGTGCGGTGCTTGGAAGTAGACACACACACTAACACGGAGCGCAAATTGGTTGTTGTAGGGTTGAGGTTCGACGGGTTCAGTCACGTCGTCGTCAGCTGATCCAGTCAAACTGGTCCGGTAGGACGCAGCGAGCGTCTTTAAAAGTAAATCTGCCTTCGTTCCGTTTCAAAATGTGGAAGATTCCCGACGCATACCATGAGTAAAACGATGCAGGCGTTTTCAACAAAATTACGTGGTTTTAATTGAACAATGAACTCCGAATTGTTGTCCCAAAGCTGCCGTTTTTATGCTTCGTGTTGTTGCACTGTTTGCACAGCGACGTGTTGCGCTCATTGTGCGG